GGCCACGTGCCACGTCCGCCATTTCGTTTTAATTTATAAAGAACCATGCAGATACAGTCCACCTATTTGTTCAACCCGCAATACCTTTCGTTATTCGCACATCCATTATTTTGGGGTCATTAGTCACGGAATCGAACCAAGGACCCAACCATATTTACGGTGTGGCCCAATCATGTTTATGGTACTTCGATCTGAATTTGAATTAGCAACCAATAGCTCCACCATTTGTGATTCATTCGCTACGGATTTGAACTGGCAACCTATGGCTCCACCATAAAGACTCAAATGCCCTATCCTAAAGGTGGGTATTTGTGTTCTTTATAGCATGAAAATAACCCCCTGAGCTGAATAAAAGCCACTTATTTCAATATTACAGACAGACACTTTAATTTTATTCATATATATATATATATATATATATATATATATATATATATATATATATATATATATATACATAAAATGTAACATTTTATTTCCTTACTGCAAAGAGTTACCCATTTGTGGATGATTTTCAATAAGAATTACCTGTTATCTATATTAAATAAAAAATATCCAATTTTTATTTAACTTAGCCTTACTTTTTCATCGCATTCTTACTTCCAATTAACCGCAAAACAAAATTTATGGCGCCGTCTGTTGACCTCAACAAAAGCATCCTTAAAATAAGTCGACGTGATCGATACCCACTTGTAATCAAGACTCAAGACGAACTGCCGTGATTCGGTTAAAATGGCTGTTCTTGTCTAAACCTTCCAAGATTAGCGTTAGGGAGTTAGTGAGCCAGGTCGACCCAGAGACATGCATAGAATATACATATAATCACGTAGAAGTGTGGTCAAGGGCGACTGAAGCCTTATACATCCGAAGATATTGTTGAAGCCAAGTTGAAGTTGGTCCCCGCTGCTGCCAACCGTGAGCTTACCTATTTCATTTACCGTTCCTGGTGGGCCAGACTAATTTTCTCTCACTCTAGGTTAATAAGGTAGTTATTCCAAAATTAGGTGCTATTTATTTTTATTTCAAGTAAGAAGGGTCGCAAATACCACGAAAAAAAGGAGTTCAATCCGCGCATTTTCATGTAGGGGAAGAGGGAGAAGTCGAGTATAAAAATATTTCGAGGATATGTGAAAGAATATGTAAAGTCCGCCTGCACGTACTGGAGCAGCACTGCGATTAATTACTCCATAACCCTCTTAAAATGGGAGACATGCGCCTAGTAGTGACGTATAATATTTGTACCTTTAGATTATTTCATAAACGAGATGTTTAGATAACTCTGTATTCTTTATTGCTTTATTAAAAACGTTAACACTAAAGTGGGATCTCCTCCTGTATCGTGTGGGCAGTTTACATACATAAATTTTACAAGGAGAAACATCCAGACTCAATCAATTTGAGTCAAACATCCGAATAAATGCCAGAACCAAAAGCAACCATTGGCAAACACAGATCATAGATTAATTTGCAAAACACTGGATGATGCAACAATTAAGGTTTTATCCAAAGGTCTCAATTTTGCGATAAAATCTCGCAGATTACCGTACAAAGAAATTATCTGTAGTGTCGAGGACTGTTTATTTAAAAACAATATGCAGAAAGAGGATTGATAGAGGCGATACGTCAAGACATTTCGTCTATGTTACGTCGATGTTTAGTGTAAAAACCGAATCTTCCCAAAGACGAATTTATAGCGTTAAAGAACCTACGTAATAAACCATAACTCACGATTCTTTGCGCAGATAAGGAAAACGCCATGGTATTCATGCATACATCAGATTGTAATGCATCGAATGTAAGCACTTATAAAAAGCTTAAAAACGACCCAACAAATAGCACACTAAAAACAACTTGACCTCATAAAGAAACACTCTGAAAAATTAAATTTGGACGTTAAATGGATAATACTTACGTGCGCCAAATCTTGTATGGGTTACCAAAAATACACAAGCCCAATGCTCCATTACGTCCCATAGTAAGCCAAATCGATCCACCAACTTACAGACTGGCTCAACACTTAGCGAAAATACTCTCACCGCTCAGGGGACATAATACAAGAGCACACATAAAGGATTGCTACCATTTTGTCAGCGAATTAAAGACCTTCATCTCAAAATATCATAATATAATATAAAATAAAGCATCTGGCAGACAATGAAACTATGGTCAGTTTTGATGTGCAGTCATTGTTTACATGCTTTCCTATTGAAGACTGCATCTCAATTGTAACTAGAAGGCTGGAAGAAAACGACATGCCCATGTATGCAGTATTACTCAGACACTGCCTTACATCTGGCTACCTATTGTGGAAGGAGGAGTTCTACAAGCAAGTAGATGATGTGGCGATGGGCTCACTTGTATCTCCCATTGTCGCCGACATATTCATAGAAGACTTTGAGGAGAAAGCCCTGCTTACTTCTCCCATAAATCCAAGATTCTACAAGCGGTACGTAGACGACACTTTCACAATTCTACCTTTAAATAAAATAACTTTATTTTTAGACTATCTTAACTCTATAAATTCTAAAATTGAGTTCACAATGGAGTTAGAGGCAAACAATTCTTTAGCTTTTCTAGATGTGTTAGTAGTTCGAAATCCTGATAACACCTTGAGCCACACTGTGTATAGAAAAAAGACCCATACAGATAAAAATTTAAACGGTGATTCTCACCACCATCCTTCACAGTTAGCTACCGTGGGTAAATCTTTGTTTCAGAGAGTACGAGGGATCTGTGATAATAAACACCTGGCTGCCGAGCTCCATCACGTCAAGCAAGTTTTGCATGACAACAAGTTACGGGTCCCGCGCCTACGTTACAGTGAACGAGTGAAGCCGGCCACAGTCGAGCGTGTACCTGCTGTACTGCCATATGTTAGAGGAGTCACTGACAAGATTGGCTACATCTTGAAGCGGGCTTCCATCAAAACATACTTCAAGCCGCTGAAGAAGATTGGTCAGTTTTTACCATCAGTCAAGTGTAATGTCCCTCTGCAAGATGCAGGAGGTAAAAGCTTGATTGTGAATGTGGTCTCTCCTACATAGGACAAACTAAAAGATCAATTAAAACCCGCGTTAAAGAACATATACGAGTAGCTGATGTGAAGAATCGACGCTCCGGGAAGTCTGTAGTCTGTGAACACATACAGGATCGCCCCCGTCACTACATCAGATTTGATAGACCAAAAATCCTCGCTAAAGAACATCGACTCCTTCCAAGGATGATTCGCGAGGCTATTTAAATCAAAAAACATCCTAATTTCAATAGAGAAAATGGCTGGGTGCTACCATCTGCTTGGGATCCTATAATAAATTAAATTAAATCCCAACCCAAGCTAACAACTGCAAGACTTCAAAACACCATAAGTTCATACTGTCGGAATCAAAGTTAAATTTTAATCTATGGTAACCGCGGTTTACTATGACATCTAAACGTTGAACATATCAGTCCCTCCCCGTGACCATGGGTACTGTAAAGTGCTCGAAACGTCGGGTATTTAAAAAGTTAAATATATGCGATAAATCCGTAAAAACTAATATTATTTAAATGTGTAGTGTTCGCGTAAATATAAGACGGCATTACATACAAATACTTGTCCGGTGCAAGATTTGAACCTGCAGCGCTTACCGCTGGAACTCAATGCACTTACGGAGCCGTCATCTTTCATCGCAAACAATAAGATCTAGGTGTCTGGCATCAAAATACATAACCGTATTATAAATACGGTCGATATATACTCGCCTAATACGGTACGTATTATTTGTACGGTTATGTATTTTAATGTCAAACCGTTACATGTATTGATATGACAGGATCGTGCTAAATGGAAATCCGTAGTCTCTAGCTATGGCTCAGCGTAAAGCTATCAGCTCTGGCTGACTGGATTGAGAGTTTGTGTTATTTTTTATATTGAATGTCTGGCTTAGCAGAGGTTATTCTGCCCTTTCCAGTTTTTTATCGGCGTTCACTGGTTATTACTTAATAACCAATGATAATATCATTCTGCTAGAGTTTTATTATTGTATGTAACAATTCGAACGTTATATAAAACTGCTGTGCCATCCAAATCGGTTGTTTGAGTGATAGGCATTCCAGGCAGACAGATAGAAAAAGTATACAAAAAAAGTAATGTTTTGAAATCTGTATTATTTTTTGTCAGGAACCAGAAGTGTAAAATAAACAAAAAATCCCAATTGATAACAAACTAATTCTCATTTACTTAAAATTAATCAAATACATACAATAATTCAAAACTAAACTGACTAGAATTTGAAATCAATACAACTAAACAAACAAAATTTTCGTTTACTTTCAAAAATATTAAGGATCACCACAAAACGAAGTAACCATAAAGAAAATATGGAACAATCTTATAAAGATTATACACGAACGAAACCAACCACCTTATCCATCGACGACTGACCGGCCAAAGAGAGCCCATTCATTTTTTTTGTGCCCAAAGCAATAAGGGTAACCCTCCGGAAAGCGGGGGAGGGAGGCGGTGAATGCTCATAGCATAGCACGCAGCCGGCTGTGTGGTTATGTGGAGACTTTTACCCACTAAACACCGCCTTTAGGGACTGGATTAACGGTCTAGCTAGAGAACTTTAAGCCGTATCGAACGCGACCCCCCTTGGGTGAAAGAGGGGCGCTAGCGGCGAGTAGCCGCTGGGAAGAATTGCTGCCTAATTAAGGCAGCTTATGAATGGGATGACTAATTATATTGAATTCAGAAGGTGTTGGTGCTCGGTAAGCGCGATCAGACGGTCCTGAGGGGGACTGAGAAGCGCGCAGTTTGCGTGCTAAAATTGCGATCTCTCTTACGTCGATATTGCGGATAGCAATGTATACTGTATCTACGTTATTGACGTAAGAGGGTTCAACCTGATGTCGGGGCCCTAGTGGGCGAAGGTGAGGAGGCGAGCCCATTCAAGTGACCGATTGCTTTTATAGGCGGTGGTAGGGATTGACGCTGCATATCGAAAAATAAGGGGAACTTATCATGCACCGTCCTCGGCTGCACTGAAGACGTCTTCTTCCGAAGACATTTCAGTAAAGTTTTCATTCTTTCTTAATGATGGATAGATGTAGCAATTAAGAACTACAGTATCTGTGCTCGTATGCAAACTAAAGAAAAACAAAAAAAAACTGTAACATCTGAAATATATAATGTAAAAATTGCAAGATTTATGCATGAATTATGTTACTAAAATATATATTAATTCCTAACGAAACTAATGTTGAGGCTTTTATTGCGATCAATTTAACTTTAAATTTTTTTTAATTCCCAACGTTTTTGCTATTTTACGGCACCCATGGTCACGAGGGGATTTAGGTGACTTCCCCATTTATAGTTAGCCCAGTTACCCTCAGTTTTAGAATAAACATATATTTTTATCCTGATCTACGCAGAACGAGCTAACAGTATTCAAGTACTCGTGTAAATATAATAAATCATTATTTGTTAACTCTCTTACCTGGTAACACTCAGACTCATCAATACTAGGTATTTTCAATTAAATAGCACACTCAAAATTCATTACAATAAATACGCTTTAAAAGATTGAACGAAATAAATAAAAAATTTGTGTCTCTGCTCAAAGGTTTTTATTTTCTCTGTGGACATTAAATGCAAAGGCAAAGGAAATTAAAACGAAAGAGAATAAACTGAGTACGGACGTTGAACATGTCTCCCTTTCAGTGAATATAGTCTTTGTAAATGTATTTTCGAAACAAAATCAGTTCTTTTTCATTATTTAAGAGATATTAAAAATATTATGAAATTGTTGAAAATGCATTAAATAGTTTACAGTCGATGGCTACGTAGCGCAGTGGCTTAACCATAAGTTGCAGTGCTTGGGGCCGCGGGTTCCAATCCCACATGGAACAAGTATTTGTATGGACTACAAATAATTGTTCCAGGTATAGATGTTTGTTCTTGTGCAATTTATGCTTGTAAATCTAGAAATACCAGTTACACAAATCCAAAGATTTTTATAGATATTTATATACATATAGAAAATAAAACCAATGAAAAAATACGGAGTAAAATAAATAACTGGTGAAAGCGTCAAGTATACATTCGAATAGAACGGTACACGCAATATAAACTCACACATAGAAGCAAAAAAAATTGTGTAGTATACACGCAAGGGAGTCGAGAACGGTGGCGTTGAGGGCATGACGTCATAACAAAGCATCATGCCGCTTTTTTATAGGATAGGGCGACAAACGAGCACACAGTCCACCTGATAGTAAGTAAAAAAAATGCAGATGCATTGTCAGCCGTGAGGACCAAGATGGAATGCCTCGTTTCCAGTAAATAGGGTCTCCGGTTCTCTACACTCACACTACAAACACAGCAGCATTAAGCTACTATTTCACGCTGGTATTCTGTGAGAGCGTGGTCCTTCCCCGGTCGAGCCGACCCATTCGTGCTACCACGAACAAACTTACTCTACCACGCTTGCCGTCATGGCAGTACAGGAGTGCGAGTACGAGTACCAGTTTCACATTGTGAGTCTTTGACGCAATCTACTCTACGAGGAAGGCTTTTGTTCAGCAGTGATCTTTTGATTAGCTAATTACTGAATATAGTGTGGCGGCGCTGTCGTTGCGCCACAAGCGAAAACGCATCGCAGCCTAAATCACGATATCAAAGTTCAGAAGTACTGCGGTATAAGTAGAATAACTCCGAACTAGCGCACGGAACGTTGGCTGCTTCTCAGGCTGTTTATTTTTCTCGGTAGGAGATCTCCCATTTTCCTTTCATATAGCAATAGCATAATGCAGTATCTCTACAATCGGTCTCTAAGTGGTGGTGAAATATAAAAATCCATCACCCCATTTCATTTCGAGGATTTCGCAAGAGGTGGCAATGGAAAGTGTAAAAAGTCTTCATGAAGCCCGATAGATGGCAGTATGGTCTTCTTGTTTTCGACAAACGTTAAATGTTTGCCGGCCGAAATGAGAAGAAAGAAAAAAAAACGAATGTTTTCAGGGATACACTATTTTTAGTTTGAGACCTTATATATTCTACATTTTTTATATCAGCCAGAAAGACAAATAAGCGCACATTCCACTTGATGTTAAGTAGATGCTCTTTGCCCATAGACACTTATATCTATCTTCAATCTAGAACCTAAACGCAATGTAATGCTACCTTGTCCCCCAGATGACTAAGATGGACTGCCTAGTCCATCTTAGTCATCTTACTAGTAAAAAGGGGTCACCGGTTCACGCCACTCACCTTAATGTAACAGTAAGTAAAATAAAAAGCAGGTAGAAAACTATAAACACTATAACTATATTTAATTAAAATATTTTGAACAGAGTTTCGTCTTATAAAAAGCGGTAGTGTAAGCACTGAGACCCAAAAATATGTGGCTTTGGCTTGGCTTGGCTACGAATGGCTGGCGTGAACGGTGCACTGTGATTGTCTATAACGGTGTGGCGTAACAATACTACAAGCTACAAAGCTACTTTTACACCCTGGTACTCCGGGCGAGCGTGATCTCTTCCCAATCGTGCCGAACTTTTCACACCTCAGGAAGATAATTGGTTAGTTCTTGTCCTGCAACCGCTTTCTTAACAACAACTCAGCAGTGGACTTTTGATAGGCCATAGTGATAACGGCATCCTTCAATAAGAGTCTGGAAAGCGTTACTATGTATTATTGCCGTTGCTTCTTACAACACCTACGGGAAGATATAGAGCAGTGGATACTCATACACGGTTCTCTGAGTGGTACTCAAATGTGTATTTAATAAAATTCAAATCACTTCAGACGTTCCCGAGAAATCGGTGAAGAGACATAAAAAATATACTCATCCAATACCTTACCTTCTCGTTTCTTGAATTCGGTTAAAAATTATATGCTTACAAAATAAAATACATTGCCACCCAAAAAAGTATTAAATTGTGTGTATTGCTCTATGTTTAAACTTTAATTTTCTCGTCAAATCATTGAGCCGTGGCCGTTCAATCCCAATTCGTGTCGAATCTGAGTTGTTTATACTAAAAATAGAATCAAATATTCCAGTACGCTGTTATAAATAAATCTAACTTATTTACTTTTAGTCAACAATGGCGGAACGGAATGACAAGAGAAAACTAGAAGATATTGATCGTAAAGGATTTTATTGTAACATTGGATCAAAAATGTTTCAACAAATTTATTTTGTAGTTGCTTGTTTTGTGTGCGCTGAGTTTCCGGAAGCTACGAGTATTAAAGTAAAATTTACCTTTTTGATTGCACTAATATTACAAATCAAGGTAATAAAAAGAGTATTGTCTTAATAGTTATAATAAAGGCTTCCTAACCTATTTTCTAAATCTTAGCAGTGTAATTCTTTTTTCAAATGTATATGGGACCACCCTTGAAGTAGATTTATTTAAAAAAATCATTAAAAGCGGTTCAAAACGTAATGGAGTCGATGCTTTATATTAGTCATATTATGTTTTTATAACTATCAACTAACTGACTGTCTCGTTGGTCTAGTGGTTGTAGTAGTGCGACTGCTGATCATGAGGTCCTGGGTTCGAATCCCAGGTCGGGCCAAAAAATCAATTATTGAGTTTTTCCGTCAAGAAATTCTCAGTAGTTACCCGGAGTCAGGAAGTTGCCGATGTCTCACCCCCATGCCTTGGAAAGCACGTAAAGCCGTTAGTCCTGCGCCTGATCTCTCCCCGGCCGTGTCGGTTTACCGTCCCATCGGATTATGAGAGTGAAGGAATAGAGAGTGCACCTGTGCTTGCGCATACACTTGGGCACTATAATCCTGTCCTGCGTCGATGGCTAGTCTCCGTTGAGGCAGGCCGCCGTTCCGGAATTCGGTCTGGAGGACATTATTATTATTTTGGGGTATCTATATAGTTTTCTCATCTGGTTGGGTTCTATAAATATATAATTATAAATGAAAATGAAAAAACAAATATACATAAATATCAATAACATAAAATAAATATAAAAGTACATAAATAAATAAAAGCCCAACCAGATGGAGGCCCTCGGCAGGGGAGACCAAACGGCCGAGGGTTAGGGGGAAAGGGAAAGAAACCGGCGGACGATGCGGGCGGTATCGAGGAGCACCGCCTTCAACACGTAGTCCCAGCCGCCTCAGATGACCCGAGAGGCTGACTGGGATTAGCCCGTTTGCAGAGACGACTACAGGAATAATTTCGGTCGGCAGACCACCCCACATGTCGGTCACCTCGTGAGCCAGGTCCAGATATTTTGTTTGCTTGTCTGTTTCGGCTTTCACGAGGTTCTCGTCATACGGAATGGTAATGTCGACCAAAAAATATCCTTGACTGTGCCCGGTCCATCAGCACAATATCAGGCTTATTCGCAAGAATAGTCCTGTCTGTGATGATGGCCCGGTCCCAATAGAGCCTGGCGCGATCATTTTCGAGCACGGCTTCCGGCAAGTACTTGTAGTACGGCAATTTCCGGTCCACGAGACCGTATTTCAGAGCGAGCTCCTGGTGTAGAATTCTGGCTACTAGGTTGTGCCTGTGCAAGTACTCAGAGTTAGAAAGCGCCGAACAACCGGAGATAACATGCCTAAGTGACTCACCGGGATGGCGACAAGCTCGACAGATGTCGACGGTGCCATCCTTTAGGATGTATCTCCGATAGTTGTTGGTCTTAATAACCTGATCCTGTATTGCACAGACAAAACCCTCGGTTTCCCCCGAAGAGATCACCAAAGCGTAGCCAGTGGAGGGAGGCTACTGTGTCTACGAAAGGCTCATGTAGAGCCTTGTAGAACCTCCCGTGGAGCTCCTTCTCCTTCCATACGGTCTCTCGGTCGGAAATGCTCTGCACTGCCGGGTCTTGCCATTGCTCGTTGGCTAAGGATAGAGGGGTAAGTCCTTTATCACAAGAAATGACGTCCATATAGAATGGATCATCCGATCTCGCCAGGAAGTAATCACGGAGGCTGCACACTTCGCGATTATGCATGGTGAGCGCGCTCAAGAAGCCACGACCACCATGCTTCCGCGGCAAGTACAGCCTCATTACCGACGATCTCGGATGATGCATCCTATGGGACGTCATTGTAGTGCGGACTTTTCTATCCAGGGCGTTAAGTTCAGTCTGAGTCCACCTGAGTATGCCAAAGGTATACATGAGGACAGGCATGACCCAGCCGTTATATGCGTGTGCCTTATTCACACCGGACAAAAGGCTGTTAAGCACTTTGGTCAAGCGTGCATAAAACACGTCGCAAACTGACTGTTTCATACCAGTCTCATCGATACCGATGTTTTGTTACATACCCAGTATGTTTCAGCCTCGGAAAGGGTCCTTAAGTTGACGGGCATAGATAAGTCTACGCCCTCAGAGTTAGCAACCCTTCCCCTTTCAACATGGAGGACCGCACACTTATCCGTCCCCAAGCTCCATTCCAATGGAATTGCTAAATTCACAAGTGATGTTTAGCAATTCCATAAGATGGGAGCGACTGGAGGCGAATAACTTGAGGTCATCCATATAGAAAAGGTGGGTCACTTTTGTCCCTCCTCTCCGTAGCTGAAATCCCCCTCCCGGAGCCCTCCAGTAAGGTACTGAGAGGGTTCAGAGAGAGGCAGAACCAGATTGGACTCAGACAATCGCCCTGGAAGATACCCCTTCTTATCCTTATGTGGTTCTCCGCAGCCATCATCCGCTCGCCCAGATGACAAAGGATCGTACTCCACTGCCCCATACACTGCTCGAGGAAGTCTCTAACTGTACAGTCTATCTTGTACAGCTCGAGGACTCTCTTTAGCCATGTATGGGGCACCGAGTCGAATGCCTTTCTGTAGTCTATCCAGGCGGCGGAGAAGTTCCGACGGTTGCGTTTCACCACTTTGCCAATGACCGCGTCAATGAGGAGTGGTTCCTTGGTTCCACGACCACCGCCCCCGACATCCATTTTGAGCGCGCGACATCACCTGATTTGAGTCCAGGTGACAAGTGATTCTCGCGCTCAAAATGGATGTTAGTGTCTTGTATATGGTCGGTAGACACGTGATGGGGCGGTATTTGCTCGGGTCTGTGGTACCCTGGTCTTTAGGAACTAAATGAGTGATCCCAGTAGTGAAGAGGCTTGGGAGCGACTTCTGGTTGAGAGCCTCTTGAAACTGTCGGGCGAGCACAGAGTGACACACCATGAACCCCTTCAGCCAGTAGTGATGCAGCCCGTCAAGCCCCGGACTTTTCCAGTTCGGGGCCCTACGAACCGCCTCAGCTACGTCATCCGGCGTTATGATGACGGGGTCCATGGGCGTAATACCCGCACACTGACTCGCCACAACTTCCGTCCAAGGGCCCTCGCTGTGGTTTACGGGCTCTGACCACAGGCCGCGACAGAATGCTACAGTGGCGGCCTGATTCGGTGCTGGACCCGTTCCACTTACCATTGGTCGCTCCAATGATTCATAGAGCCTCTTCTGATCACTCTGGAAGAGACGATTCTGGTTGAACCGTGTCGACCTCTCGGTATATCGCCGAATCCGTTTTCCCCAAGCAGCGATTCTCTGCTTCAGATCATCTATGCGCTCCGTCAGTTTTTGCGTTATATCCGGCTGGGACAAACTGACATTTGTCCCAGCAAACGCCATCCTGACGGTGCGCACAATTCTTGGCCTGTTGTTGCCTGATCTGAAGCATATCAGTCTGCCGATGAGAGCTCTAGCCTTTGCGATACGTTCCTCAATTCTTCTTCTCCATGCTGGGATAGCGCTACTATGGCCAGTAGCGCGTCCAGCCGTGGAAACCTTGGCGCCTATGATACGGCAGACTGCCAGCGCGGCGCCAAAAAGAATTGAGTCCGTCTCGCAAAGGTCCCGGCTGGCTTCCAAATAGGTAACCAGCATTGGGTTCAGAGCCCTCACGACAGCCCGATTCCGCTTGCTTAGGGCTATGCGGGGAAGTCGCGGTCGATTTTCGAGAGGCGTACTGCGCGTTTCCACAATCGCCTCTTCCAATATACTCCTCATATGCTCTAATTCCAGTTCCTGGGCGACTGTTCCATCATCGTTTGAATCAACCACAACTGGGGTATTCACGGCGGCATCCACGTTTGCGGGTTGCTCTACCATTTGTGGCGCCGCATCCTCAGCCGTAGCATTCTCATCCGACGAGGGAACAGCCTCACGTCGTAGCCGTTCGAGTTCGGCGACATCAAATATATTTGAGCGCAAGATATACCGAACTCGGTCTGCCAGGTTTTGCTCTGTGACGGTTAAAGATGGCTCCAGCTCAGCAAAAAGTCGATGCATCCTAGCCCGATACGCCAAACATCCAGTTTCTCCCCCTTTTGCCCCAAAATACGCCCGCAGTGCGTTTGCATTCATTTCGGTTGTGCCAACGCATGCGGCGTACTCCACCAGCGGCGGGTGCCGATTGCTGGGCCCGCGAAGACCCTGCCGACACCAAGCCTTCTGGTGGGGATGATGGATGCGAGGGGCTGGTGGGTGATCGTGCAGCTCCTCGCGCTCGGCTGGCGGTCCGCATGCTGCCGCGTCCAGCGCCAGCTCCAGACGCGCCCTGGCGACCTCCAGGCAGCGGCCCTTTGCGCGTTCTTCCGTTTATCCATCATCCATATTGGTGGGCGTCATTTAGCGGGAGACGCCCAGGCCCGGCGCCGTTTCGTGGTGAGGCCATGTGCACAAACGGGCCTCTGCACCTTAAATTCTTGCCGAGGCACGGCGCTCACACCTCTTGGCAAGGTGCTGACTGACTGCGCTGACGTAGCGGTTTTGTCACATAACTGTTACGGCAGCGGGCGATGGGGTCGTCACTTCCCTACGCCTTTTTATTATTATTATTATTATTATTATTATAGGGAAAACATTTCTGTTTCTTAGTTCTTTGGCTAGTTCTGACTGCATACACTGGCCGAAGCCAAGTAAATGCAGCGTGTTGTGAGTATTTATGTAGGTGGGGTGTTATGGGTAGCTATTTCATTTTCTTCAAGTATTTAACATTGCGGGTTTTTGGAGTATAATGTACGTTGAGTTTTTCAGGTCTATTAATTTGAGGCTATGGTGGAGATGTTTGGGTATGACACCCGTGGTGGAGACGACTATGGGTACTATATAAACTTTATTTTGTCTCCAAATTCTGGTCACTTCTTCTTTAAGCTCTGCATATTTGCTTATCTTCTCACCTATTGTTTTTTGTAAGTTATGTGTGTTGGGTATTGCAATATCTATTAGGTAGTTGATTTTACTTACTTTGTCCTGTAGTGTTATGTCTGGTCTATTATAGTGAATGGCTCTGTCGGTAAGTATGGCGCGGTCGTAGTAAAGTTTGTGTGTAGGATTTTCTAAAATAGTTTGTAGAGTGTATTTGTAGTAGGGCGTGTTTTTGTCTTGTATAAGTTTATGTTTGAGTGCTAGTTTTTGATGAATGATGTTTGCTACTTGGTTGTGTCTGTGAGTGTAGTCTGTATGTGTAAGAGTTGTACGTGCCCCTGTTATATGTTGTATTGTCTCTGGTTGGGTGAAGCACTTGCGGCATTTATCGTTGGTTACTGTGGTGTCTTTAATGACATATTTCCAGTAGTTCTTAGTGTTGATGATCTGGTCTTGTATTGCGATGATAAACCCTTCAGTTTCCGGGAATAGGTTGCCAATTTTAAGCCATTTATTTCATGCTACTGTATCTACATGTGGTTGTTCCAGGTCACGTGGGTGTCGTTCGTGCAGGACTTTCTTTTTCCAGTCCTCTAATTTTTGTTTTTGTGGGTTATTAGTGTTATTGTGTTGTGTGTTCATTTAGGTTAAGTGGAGTGTAGTTAAAATCATTTAGGGCTACGGCTTTATGAATGTCACTAGTTCGAGATTTATTGTGAAAGAATGTTTTGAGGCTACTAATTTGTTTCTGCCAAAGATGTTGAATGTCTATTAGGCCTCTCCCTCCATTTTGTCGTTTGATTGTGAGTCTTTCTATTGCGGATTTAGGGTGAAAATTATTGTGTTTGGTAAGTGTTGTGCGTGTGGTTCTTTCTATTCACTGTATGTCAGTTTTAGACCATTTAATCACTCCAAACGAGTAGGTTAATATTGGGATCGCGTACGTATTTAATGCTTTAATACGATGTTTTCCAGCGAGATGTGTTTTGTATACTGCGTTTACTCTCCGTTTGTATTCTGTGTTCAGTGTGTGTTTAATTGCTGTATGATCTAGTCCTTTGAGTTGTCTGTATCCTAAATATTTATATCCTATATAGATCTGTCGGTTCCATAGCTATGACTACACAGTTAATTGTGTAGTCGCCTGGTTTTATTTTGCCTCTTAGTATGTGTAGTGTTTTGCATTTATCTAGTCCACACTGCATGTTGATGTCTTTACTAAATTCTGTTGTAGTATCTATTAATTTTTTCATTTCTTTTTCTGTTTTTGAGTATAATTTAATCTCATCCATATATATGAGGTGTGAGATAGTGATATCTTCTGTGGCGTTGTGTTTGAGTCTATATCCGGCTTGGCACTGATGCAGTAGGTGAGACAGGGGGTTCAGTGCGAGACAGAACCATAGAGGACTCAGGAAGTTACCTTGATAAATACCTTTCCTAATAAATATCTGTCGATTTCTTACGATTTTGTCGTGGTAATTCAATTGGAGTGTAATTTTCCATCGGGACACGATATGATGTAAGAAGTTTATCATTTTTGGGTTTATTTTGTATATACGTAATACTTGAATTAACCAGGAGTGTGGAATACTATCAAAAGCTTTTTTGTAGTCTATGTATGTACAATGAAGTGTTCTATTTTTTGTGGTGGCATGTTTGTGGACTATTGAATCTATAATTAATTGTTCTTTGCACCCCATGTGGCCTCGTCTGCACCCTTTTCGTTCTTCCGCTACTATGTTGTGGCGTTCTATGTGTTTATTGATTTTAGCTATGATTGCTGAGGTTAGGACCTTGTATATTGTCGGTAGGGAAGTAATTGGTCTGTATTGGGACGGTTGTGGGGAGTGTTGAGACTTGGGTAACATGTAAGTTATTCCTGTTGCAATAAATTCAGGTATATTTTGTTGTCCTAAGATTTGTTTGTTAAGTTTTTAGCGATAATTTTGTGTAATGAGTCTAGTTTTTTATACCAGTAATTATGTACTTTATCAATGCCAGGTGATTGCCAGTTGTGAAGTTTTGCTGTAATACTATTTATATCAGATTCAGATATCTCGACGAATTCTATTTCTTCTAGTGCACTCCACTTAGATTCTTCAACTGCTATCCAACCAGCTTTATCATTATGCTGCAGTTGCTCTTCCCATATGCTTAACCAGAATGTCTCCAATTGCTCTGACGTTGGTAGTTCGGTGTTGGTGTCGGTTGTTACGTCTATTTGTGGTTTCTGTAAATTTCTGTAAAAGTTTTTTTGTTAGTTGCAAACATGGCGTTATCATTTTTGCGTTCTTGTGCCTTCTTGTATCTCATCAGCCTATGGACTTTTAGCGCGAGCTTCTTTTTTAAAGTGTCTAAGAATTCTTCAGGTTTTCTATTGTCGTTTTCATGTCTCGTGTGCCTGGCCATCTTCTTAAATATTGACTCGAGACTTTTGACTACTTTGTTAGATCTGTTATTGTTGATATATTGTGTTAGTCTACCGCAGTCAGTTTTCTATATCTCTTTCGAGTCTCTGTTACCATGATGGTATGTTTAACGTTTGTTTGAACGGGTCTCCATGTTTAATGGGTTTCCAGAGCCACGTTAGCCACGCCAGTAATTTTTCAATCGTGTGTCCGCCCTCCACATGATTCGATGATCAATCAGGACGTGTGGTTGTTTAGGGGGCTTATTATTATTATTATATAAACTATATGCATATACATAATATGTCATATATATAATAATACAATATATACAGTAATGAAAAAAATTAATACTGCTAAAAGAAAACTATTAAAAATGACTTAACTCAATATGGCTTTTTTATTTTTTAGCGCAAATTTTAACTGATGGTTTAAGTGAATGCTGTGGGCACTATATACCTAAACTTACCCTCAATTAGAAAAGTTGCCCTGATGGACTAAGATAGAATATCTAGTAAAAATGATCTCACCGTTACAACAGCATGGTCCTTCCTCGGTCGAACCGATCCGTTTGTACCGCAACTCTTCTTTACCACGAAAGTTTACTTGGCTAAGCCTACTTCACTACTACTTATTACACAAGTAGTAGTGAGTGTCAGTGTACCTGGTAACTAACTTTCTGGTCTTGTTTTGAATCCGAACAGAACCAACATTTGATATATTATACACAAATTGTTGCTTCTCGTAAATGCTTGTGTTGCATTGTCCGGTCTCTGAGTCTGAAGGTTTAAAGAAATTTAATTCCAAAAAAAAGTTATTTACATATTAGAAGTAAATGCACACATTAGAATAACATAGCAGAAAATGACACAGACCAATAGACATCTTTCATCTTTCTTTCTTTATCAACTTGATATCCACTGATTAACGCTCTTAAAACTATTTTGTTGGCTGCAAATGATTTCAGTTGCATAAGTGTAGGTAGAAACATGTTCTTATATTAAGTTGCGCATGATTTCAGCGTCACTCCAGTCCATTAATTAATTATAATAATCATTATATTTTGAATAATGATACCCTACGCTCTATATAGCTTTTAAGTTTAATTTAAAATATCGTAAAATCGCTCGTTCAAAGTGGGAGTTTGTTGCGAAAAATACAGAGTATCTCTATTTTTACGGAAGAGGATCGTAACAGCAATCTATGATTTCAACCCTTCAGAGCCTTAGAATTTGAGTAAATTAATATATTAACTTTGGCCTCTCAAAATTTACGAAAATGTAATGTCCGTACACAAAAATAAAAGTAGTTTAAAAAATATGTGATACTAATTTATTTATTTATTATAGAGACATGGTACAATAAGTTGTTGCATTATGACTTTTAGGATCATTTACATGTCTTACCTGTATCGGAGTAGAAACAGAACAATTATCAATTCTTAGTTTTTGATAATGTCAATTCAATAACAATAACTACAGCAACTTTAACATTGTCAAAGAAAACTTAATAATAAAGCTTCAATTATTCCGAATCTTAATTCTATACATTTTGAATTAGTAAACATTACCATTTTTAATATTAGCAGTCTTTTATTAATTAAATAATATTTCCATTTTTTATTGTAACCTGTTCAAAGCAAAGTTATTTCTAATTATTAGATTTAGAAAAAAAAACTTAATTTAATTACATATAGTGATACTTTCGTACCCAATCTATTTTATATGTCAAAAAATCTTTCACGGAGTAAAAACAATGGGCAAGGGGCTGAGTTAAAGTTCTTTAGAATTTGTTAATATTTAATAGTTTTATATTTTCTGGTAGATTGATAAAAGGTACGAGTGCATACAATTTATCTATAATTCTGTCTTTATTTTCCAAAACTGCATTGGGTGATGGAAATATCTTTGGATGCTTTTTCACAAAAATACTTATTTCTAGTACGAACAGACAAGACCATTGAATTATTTTAGTTTTTTAAATAATGGTGTACGGTTTTAATAATATTCAACACTACATAACGCTCTTATACATATTTTTTTAATTTTAAATGCTTTGTCCGCATAAACGGCGATAATGCAAATCCATGATAATTTTATATATATATATATATATATATATATATATTTCATCGCTTCATTCTTCAGATATAATATTAACAACGTAGTTTCCTTATTCTACAAGGCTAAGTCGCACCTTTAAAGATTTTTACTCTACCCACATCAAAACAATTGCCCCTTCCCACTAACGTCTCTCGCCGTCCGAGCGTATTGCCTCATTCCTTTTTTCGTGCGAGGCAGATTGCACACCTTATTTAATTATCTTAGAACAGTAAAATGTCGAAACGCAGTGCTGCAGAGAAAATTGGTTATTATCAAAAGAAAATTTTAAAAAACTAGAAGAACAAGAACGAAAGCGACATAAACAAGTCATTGTTTACTCGATTCTTCTGAGGCCGAAGAAAATTTTGGTAAGTGTTACCGTTACGTAATTCGATTCTAGTGCCTGAGTGATCATTAAAAATATAAGTTAAGACTAAAAACCTTAGCGTTGATCGTGAATCAACACGAATACAAACTTACCTGGGGACTGGCCGAGAATCAGTACCAAGGTATCCTTACCTGGGGTCTAGCCGAGAGTTAGCACAAAGGTTATATAAACTTAAATACTCATGTACAAATATATTAAAGATTTAAGTTCTTAGTTGTGTTAATTTAGATTCTTATCATAACAATTTTTTGTTATCTACCTCCGAAATATGAAAAATATTTCTTGTTGTGGATAACTGATGATAGTAATAAGGTCATAAATGATGACACCATGGTATATGGTAACATCCATTCTCTTCGAGGAGCATCCTCTGCTGACAATTGAAGATAAAGCGGAAGAAACAATTCCTTCATTAGACCCTGAGCTATTGTCAGCTTTGGGTGATACGGATAGTGATGAGCAAATATAAGGTGAAAATATTCACCAGGATCTTACTCACCATTGGCTTCCTCTTCTACGTAAGGGTCTTACTAAGGAAAAAAGACAAAACTTGTTAAAAGAGTACTTAATTCCCGAAAATTGCAGGCTTTTGAGAGCACCTACGCTGAATCCCGAGATTGCAGCGGCACTTACCGATGCAGCCCGAAATAGGGACAAGAAAATAGAGGTCGATCAGCAAAGACTGGGCTTAGGTATTACTGTCGTTAATAGAGCTATGTCTTTACTTCTCATCGGAGACAATAAAGTCCAAGCGATAAAAAAAAATTATCTGATGCGTGCCGTATATTATCCGACCTCCATCACTCTGAGACCCCAAACCGGAATTAAATTGGTGACACCCGGATTAGACAAGTGTTTTCTTAAAGTCGTTCGTGAGAGTGAAAGAGATGAAACTCTTTTTGGCATTGAGCTTTCCGAAAAGATTAACGCGTCAAAAGCCATCGAAAAACAGGGTCTTCGGATTTCAGACTCAAAACCTTCCACATCACAGATAAAAAACAAGTTCGTCTTCAAGAGACAATTGTTACCAGGGAAACGGTTTGGGATGGATTTACAATACCATTTAATAGACAAATTACTCAATGAAGATTACCTCATTCAACTTGTTATCAAAAGATAAACAATACATTTCTGTAGCTATTAGTAATTTATTACACTTAGGAGCAATATCAGTGTCATCCGTTAAAGAACCAGTTCATATCCTCAGTTTTCTTAGCGCCTAAACCTAACGAAGACAAAAGATTTATTCTGAATTTAAAGGCCCTTAATAAGTTCATTGCAAAATATCACTTAAAAATGGAGGATTACAGAACAGCCTCAAAGTTAATACCCCGTAATGGTTACATGGCTACCATTGACCTACGGGAGGCTTTGGCGCAAATTTTTAAGATTTAAATTTGAAGATGAAAATTTAGTTAAAACCCTTTATGAATTTAATGCCATGCCGTATGACCTGTCAGTTACTCCTAGAACGTTTAGTAAGATAATGAAAGAGGTAATAACCAACTTAACCCTAGGATGGTAACAGGGGTGCCCCAACACCCCACGCCAGCAATCACGCGCCAATTTATTGAAAATTATTTGCTCTCTCGCTCTAGTATTTTGTGTATTTTTTTGTCTTACCATGAGTCATTAGTAGCCGTTGCACGGTGGGACCGGCAATACGTCGATTTCGTTCTGCAGGTATGTGTGGGGTGTTGCGTCACCCCTGTTACTATTTACGTAGTTATTTTCTTTTGTTACTGTATTTTTTTATATGTTATTTTCAGTTCATTATGGCGTTTCGTAATGATGAAGAGCTTGAGCGGTACCTAAATAATATGGTCGAGGATGATGATAGTAAAACAGAGCCATTAGAGGCGGAGAAGGTTTCTGAAAATGAAGATAACCTGTCCGTGCATTCCGAACAAGACGACATTATTTCCTGCTCAGATGAAGATGATGTGCCTTTGTCACAGCTTCGAGGGAGTATTTTGAAAGGTAACAATGGACATGTTTGGTCTACTTCTGCCCCATCATCACACAGAACACCTCAGCGTAACATAGTAACCATCCAAAGGTCTTCGCAAGTCCGTTCTAATATTGAAATAGAAAAAGAAGCTTTTATGATTTTGTTCTCTAAACCTCTCGACATAGTACTTACATACACAAACCAAGAAATTAGTAGACGTGCTCCCAAATATAAATACCAACGTTTTACTCATAAAACAGACAAAACAGAGATCGAGGCACTCATAGGGCTACTATTTTATGCCGCGGTAAACAAAGATAGTAAAAAAAAGTGCAACTGAAATGTGGGCGCCCACGAGTACCCCTGTATACAAGTCAATAATGTCCGAGAGTCGGTTTCATTTTCTGCTACTTTGCTATACTATACTAAGATTTGACGATAAGGACAGCCGTGATAAAGAGGATAAATTTACACCTATTCGAGAAGCATGGAAGATTTTTATAAACAGTTGCACAAAAGCGTAACAACCACGCTGTTACATTACGATTGATGAGCAACTGTTTGGTTTTCGAGGAAAATGTCCATTTCGTGTTTATATATCTTCGAAACCGGACTAACATGGTATGAAAATTGTGGCCATATGTGACGTTAAAACATATTATATGTTTGACGCAAATCCTTACATAGGAAAAGAAACCGAGGCGAAGACGGCAGCAGACTATGTCACAAAGTTAGCTGAGAGCATCAAAGGTTCTGGACGAAACATAACATTTGATAATTGGTTCACCTCGGTGCCTCTTGCAGACCAGTTACTGAAGGAATATCGACTTACTTGTATTGGAACTTTACGTAAAAATATACGTGAGATACCACCTGCTTTCCTACCGAATAAATCAAAGTCTGCTTTGTCCTCTCAGTTTGCATTTGATCGCGAGAAAACGTTAGTCTCCTTTACTCCAAAGGTAAACAAATCGGTGATATTGCTATCTACTATGCACAATAAGGAAGAGATTAATCCTACAACGTATAAGCCAGTTATAATTGATGACTACAATGCGACAAAAGGAGGCGTCGATACCTTTTACAAAATGATGCACAATTACACGACTGCGAGGGGTACTCGACGCTGGCCGCTTAGGTTTTTTTTTCGGTATGTTAGATCAAGCAGGGATCAACTCTATGATTCTCTATCTAGAAGCTAAGCATCCAAACACACCAGCGAATAAGTTTAGAAGTAATTTCTTAAAAAAACTAGCAATGCAGCTAACCGAGCCGCACATGAGACGACGCCTGGAGTCAAATTTACCTCGACAACTATCGGGAAATATAAGAGCCATTCTAAATGTCCCCGAAGAAGTTCCAGCATGTGAACCCCCCCCCCCAAATTGCAAAAACAAGCTCGATGTGCATTGTGTCCTCGAAAAAATGACAAAAAAGTGAAGATTTTTTGTTCAAAATGCAGAAGACCTGCGTGCCCTGAACATCGTGTGGAAATTTGTCTCAGTTGTGTTTAAGTTGCCACAAAACATTTTTTATAAATCTAATTTCTTTTAGTTACAAGTGTTTTTTAAGTTTGTTTCAAAAATAAAAAGTTTTTTATTCATTTTATTATCATGGGGTGACGTGACACCCCTGTTACCACGCATGGTTCATTTAAATTATGTTACCATCGTAGGGTTAAAAAACAGGGGATATAAGTCTGTCATACATCTTGACGACATTCTTTGTTTATGTAAAGATTACAATGAATGTTTAGAAAACGTTAACGCGACTATGCATCTTTTACAATGCTTAGATTTTGTTATTAATTATAATAAGTCCTGTCTAGGCCCGCATATATCTTGCACATATTTGGGATTTATTTTTGATTCCAAGGAACTTTCTATAAGTCTACTCATAGATATATAAAATCATATAGCTCACATAGTACAAAGGTTCTAGTTGTTCGATCAGAGATTTCGCTCATTTGATAGGTGTTCTCACGGCCGCTTGTCCTGCGGTAAAATATGGCTGGTTGTACACTAAACGGCTAGAAAGACGAAAATACTTTGCGCTTCAAAAATTTAAGACGTATAATAAAAATATGCAACATTCAAAAGATATCTTACCAGATTTACAATGGTGAAAAAAAAGTATTTTAACCAAAAATTCGTTTAGTATAACTAAATATAATTATGAGATATTTACAGACGCGTGCTTGACAGGTTGGGGTGCTTGTTGTAATAATATTCGTGTTGGTGGAGGATGGAAATACAATGAACTCAATTATCATATCAATTAACTCGATTTACTAGCCATATTTCTAGGTATTAAGTGTTTTGTTAGGGATATGTCGGATTGTAATATTTTGTTGCGCGTAGATAATACAACAGCTATAAGTTATATTAATTGAATGGGAGGAATCCAAATTCCCCCATTTGAACGAGTTATCTCGATCAATATGGCAATGGTGCGAGAAGCGAAACATTTGGCTACACGCATCTTACATAAATAGTAAAGAAAATGTAGAATCAGACCAAGAATCAAGGAAACTAAACCTAGATACAAAATGGAAGCTAAGTGACAACGCTTATAAAGAGATCATACAAAAATTGGGAGAACCAGAAATAGATCTTTTCGCTTCTCGTGCCAATCCTAAATGCACGACCTATGTGTCTTGGAGAAAGGATCCAGGTACCTTATTAGTAGATGCTTTCACTATTGATTAGAGATACAAATATTTCTATGCGTTTCCACCTTTTCTTTAATAATTAAATGTCTGGAAAAATCATAACCGATAAAGCCGACATTTTTTCTGTCCTTATTGGCCATCCCAGCCTTGGTACCCAATGTTAAATAACTTACTCAGATCAGATATAATGTTTTTCAAACTTCACAGAGATCTCTTACGGTCTTACTACTCCTCATCACCTGCACAAACCTTACCCTGGGTGCAGCGAGGCTCTCAGAGTCGCATTTATAAGAAGAAGTACACCATCGCCCGCTCTTCCAATGATGATGGCATCGCTTTCAAAGAATATAATACTTCATTTTAGAGTCTCGTATAAGCTGTGGTGGCAATTTTGTCATAAAAATAATTTAGATCCTTATGCAAATTCTATACCGTCAATGTTGCTATTTTTATCGGAGCAATTTAATAATGGGGCCGCTTACGGTTCGCTCAATAACCACAGGTCGGCCTTATCATTAATTCTAGGAGACTGTGTAGGTTCTAAAGACCAAATAAAAAGATTCTTAAAGGGCGCATTCAAGTTAAGACCAGCCCTTCCAAAATATACTGGTACTTGGGATCCAAAAATTATCTTAAATCATATAGAAGATTGTGTTCCAATGAAACATTTTCAATTGAAAAACTCACAAAAAATAGCAGTATTAATGGCATTATGCACAGCACACAGAGCTCAAACATTATCTTTAATAAATATAGACAATATTAAGATATGTTCTTCAGATGTTAGAATCAGCATCACTGATATAATTAAAACGTCTGCAGCGGGACGTCAGCAACCCCTTCTAATTTTACCTTATTTTATTAAAAATAAAAATATTTGTCCAGCCACGGCAATAAGATTATTTAGAGATTACAAATAAAATGAGACCCGCAGATTGTTGGAACTTATTGCTAACCTACAGGCGGCCACTGCTCAATCTATCAGTAGGTAGATTAACGGAGAGCGCTAGCGGAGGGCTGCGTGGACGTGACCGTGTTTAGTGCACACAGCACGCGACATGCTGCCACCTCGTGTACTAGGTCCGCTGGAATCTCTTAGATATGATCAGAAAACAGCCGGTTGGTCGTCAGCATTAGAGAACTGTCCTCCTAAATAATTAAATTTGATTTGTTAAATAAAATAGACAAGTGAATAACGTTAATATTTTAACGTTAGTACGTTATTTTGTTACGACCGAACTAATAAATAATATTTGGTTTTTTATGATTTTTGTTTTATAGTTCAACATACACATAAGTAACCCAATAAGCAAAACTTTAAGCTCTAAACATCTACGTTGTTAATATTATATCTGAAGAATGAAGCGATGAAATATAATATATGATCAAACGAACTTCTCCAAGTGAAGTTCGATCAGTTTTATATGAATCGCTTTATTCGAAGATATAATTTCCCTCCCGCCCATAATCCACTAAAAGTTTTGCTTAGAATAATATCTCTAAAAGAATGAAGCAGTACGCTCGGACAGCGAGAGACGTTAGTGGGAAGGGGCAATTGTTTTGATGTGGGTAGAGTAAAAATCTTTAAAGGTGCGACTTAGCCTTGTAGAATAAGGAAACTACGTTGTTAATATTATATCTTCGAATGAAGCGATTCATATAATACTGATCGAACTTCACTTGGAGAAGTTCGTTTGATCATATAATATATATATATATATATATATACATCTAACACAAATTTAACTCAACATTTTGTTCAAATCCTCTTGCCACTAGTCCAACATTGTTTTATATACTAATACCTGTTAACTTACTTGTTGCTGTATCCTTAAGCGGTCGAATTCGACTGCGGCGCTATTTCGTCAAAATTCAAGCGTCGGATTCGACCGCGCACAGCACTTTAAACCATTAAAACTTATATTTAGAGACTACTTTTCCATAAAGAAGTTTGGCGTTATAGAATCAATATGAAATTTTCTATCCTCTAGTGCAATAAAAAGTAAAGTTATCTTATGGACATTTATTTATAATCTACGTTCATTTCAACTTCAGCATAATCTACAAGTTTTTTTTCCTTTAGCAGCCCATTTTCTCCTTTTTTCGTTGTGTATGTGAACAAAAACCGAAGAACAAAATATTTGCAGGTGTTGAATATTAAATATTTTATATGTCCACAATTCATATCGAGTTTTGTTCTCTAGAGAACTATTTCCATTCCTGTTTATTACAAAAGTAGCAGTATTCACAGCCTCTGCCCACAACGATTTTAATAAATAGTTAAGACATCGTTCAGGCAGCTTCTGCAGTTGTATGATTGTCTCTCTCTCTCTCTCTCTCTCTCACTCTCTGTCTCACTCTGCCCTGCTTTTCTGTTTTGGTAAGTACGGGTTCTGTAATAGGTTAAGGTAATCTTGTTTTGCAAAAATATCATCCACTTCTTAATTAGCAAATTCTAGGCCATTATCAGTTCTAAAGGTCTTAATTTTATTACCTGTTTCGTTTTCAGCTTTGACTATCTACTGTTTACAACACTATTACTGTTATCTCGATTATTCATTTTATTTCTGCATTCACATGACACTTATAATTACAACACTGAATATTATTCTTAGGTTTGTAGTTAACGCAGATGACGATGATTGATGTAGCACCCCTTCTTTCCTCTTCTACCACCAGCAATCTTGTAACCAGGTAATAAGTCTGTTTATCAAGCTGACACAAAGTGTTTGTATTCATCTGGAAGCGACATTAACACTTTGGTTATCACTAACTTGTCAGAGATTACTTCTCCAATTTGTTATAGTTAATTTTGTATCTTATTTATCTTCGACAGAAACGCAGACATGTCGGTACCATTTTCATACTTTACCTGTAATAATATTAGTTGTATGATATGAATATTTGTCTCGCATATTGCATTTCTCATAGATGCCTTGGAGCTTTTGTCACATTTCCGCTGCTGTTGTACATGAAATAATATGTAATGTCATATCCTCCACTTTTCTTGTTACCAGTCACGAATGCACCTTTGCGTTCTTATTTTCCCAGTTACTTCTTTGAGTGGCATCTTTGGCTTGCAACCTACGACCTTCAACTATATCGTAGAGATCTTGCCACTTAATAGAGCTGCAGTTTGTAATTTCCAAGTATTCCAGTTTTTTGCACCTTCTAATCTGATTGTATTTGCGTTTTACTGAATAAATTCTTGAGAAGGAATAAATTAATATTTATTTCATCTGAAATGAGTAAGGTATTGTTTTTCGATTTAACATTGTATTCGTTAAGACCGCCCGCCGGCGAGATCTCACTGTAAACGCAGATAAACACAATTACTGAAGACAAAGCTATTTGAGAATCTGTGAGTAAAATATTGAAATATCTTCTTACAGTTAGTCAGTTACAGTGGTTAATTGATGATGAAAACTTCGTGTACTAGCGTAAATTCGAACGCAATAAATAACTACTTAAGGCGCGGGTTAGCAGGGAACCCTTTTTCTGCCTGGAAGTCCATCTGGGTAAGTATCACACTTTAATTCACTTTACACTAATTAAAACTTAAAAGAGACTAATAGTTAATCACATTGATTCACTTTATTTCGCTCCAAAGCTTCGCTTGTCTCGCCAAATTCAATACTGCCTCGATCGTGGCATGCTGCGGGTTTAAATACACTTTTACACTGAAACATCCAGAATATTCAAGTAAATACGCGTGCCAACCGACCAGGCGCCGAAAGTTCGAGTGTAGGGCTTCTAGAAAGTTTAGTTCTTAAATTCGATACTAGATGTCGCTGTTGGTTTAAAGATTAGTCATGTCATTTTCTGGAAAGCTCTCCTCGCTCTGTTACCCGACACTAGATGGCGCTAGTGCCAGACGTCAACTTAGGCGCGCAACACTGCCCCCTCCTAAGACATGCTCGTCCCGAGCATTATCGGCCCCATAATAACGCGCCAGGCGATCCAGATGCACGATCTTAGGAGTCCCTCTTGCGCCTTTCTGTATCTGGTAGGTTACATCGTTGATCCTGGTCACAATCCGGTACGGGCCGTCCCATTTAGCTTTAAACTTAGGAGATTTCCCTTTGCTGCGGACTGGATTGTGCAACCATAGAAATAGAAATAGAAATAGAAATGTACTATGTAATGTGTCACTGATGTATTTTTGTGAACAGCACTTCGATATTACAACAAAAATGGTTGTATGTGCTTGTCCCAATCTCGTTGCCGATTGTCTACAACTTTTGCTAAGTGCCTCTCCAATGTCTGATTAAAACGTTCTACCATTCTATCAGATTGCGGGTCATAAGAAGTCGTTCTTGTTTTATGAGTACCCATAACTCGGCAAGTTTCCTGGAATAATTGAGACTCAAAATTTCTTCCTTGATCGCTGTGAATCTCTAAAGGTACTCCAAACGACAGAAGACTTCATGAACTAGTTTATCTGCAACTGTTGAAGCTTCTTGATTTGGAATGGCGAAAACTTCTGGCCACTTAGTGAAGTAGTCCATCACAACCATGAAATACTTGTTACCGCTTTCACTCTCCGGAAACGGCACTGCCACGTCAATGGCTATTCTCTCCCATGGTGCACCAATATTGTACAACTTCAATGCACCTCTACTACGAGTCTGAGGTCCCTTTAAAGCCGCACAACTTGTACATTTGCGACACCAGTCCTCGACATCGTTTCGACAGTGGACACAGTAAAACCGTTCTCAGATCTTCAGTAGAGTTCGTTTAACTCCCAGATGGCCTCCTGAATAATCATTATGGTACAGCTGTAGAACATCCGGTACTTTAGCTTTAGGGACAACCATTTGCAAATGACAGCTGCCTCCCCGAACATTTTCCCATTTACGGCACTGAACTCCATCCTGAATCAGCAAGCCCAATAGCTTCTAGTGGTCGAACTCATCTGAGTCGTCGCTCCACTTAGGCTTGGTAGCATGGGCCTTCATCCATTCCAGAATCGGATTGATGTCCAGATCTTCCTGCTGTGCATGTCGTAGGCTGTCCTTTCACTCATTGCTGAGGTGGTCTCCTAGCGAGCGAGCCACGAGCTTAGGGTTCGTGACAATAAAAGTTGCCGATAGAATTACCAAAATTAACACTTTAATTCACTTTACAGTAATTAAAACTTAAAAGACACTAATAATTGATTAATTCATATCACATTGATTCAATTCATATCGCTCCGAAGCTTCGCTTGTCTCGCCAAATTCAATACTGGCCCGATCTTGGCATGCTGCGGGTTTAAATACACTTTTACACCGAAACATCCATAATATTCAAGTAAATACGCGTGCCAACCAACCAGGCGCCGAAAGTTCGAGTATAGGGCTTCTAGAAAGCGTACTTCTTCAGTTCGATACTAGATGGCGCTAGTGCCAGACGTCAACTTAGGCGCGCAACAGTATGTAATAAGATTGTAGAGGATTTTATTTAACTGCTTTAAGATTAAAAGAAATGGTAAACTTACCTTACTAAAACGGTTTGATTATAAAATGGACGACTACTTAGAAAATGATAATTTTTGAACTAGAAATAGTCTACCATGAAACAAATCTAATTCTAACAAAATAGTATTATATTTTTTTGTCTTTGTTATTTACCGAACGCTGCACAGCCGAGTTGAATCCATCAATTCACCTCTCGATCGAACTTGGACTTACCTAGTCGGACTACTTGACCCAGGTAAACATATTCGTCAACAACTTCGAGCTTAGTGCTCCCAACAACCACTGGTACAGGTGTGACATGGATATTACACATGAGTTTCGTTTTGTCCATGTTCATCTTAAGACCTATCCGTTGGGAGACACTATTGAGGTCATTGATCGTAGTGCTTAGGTCCTCCAGCGATTCTGCCATGAGGACTATATCGTCGACAAATTGAATGGGAGTGATGTATTCGCCATTGACGTTAATACCGTACCCTTTCCAGTCCAGTAGCTTGAAAACGTCTTCCAATGCAGTGGTGAAGATTTTCGGGGATATAACGTCACCCTCTCTTACACCTCTCAGCAGTTGGATAGGTTTCGAGCTCTGGTTCTGTACTCGAATAGCCATCGTAGCTCTACTGTACAAACACTTCAGCACTTCGATATTGTCAGTATATCGAAGTGAACTTGGCACCGCTGAAGGGGACTGAAGCGCCGCCCAAATTTCGGCGAAATCAAAAGCTTTCTCGTAGTCCACATACGCCAGGCAAATTGGAAGATTGTACTCTTCTGTCTTTTGTACAATCTGTCGCAGGGTATGTAATAGATCTATAGTACAGAATTCTTTTCGAAAACCAACTTGTTTGGGAGGCTGGAAGTCGTCCAGTCTGCATGAGAGACAACTCGTAATGACTCTCGAAAACAGTACGTAGATGCCATTCAGAAGGAAAATCGTTCTGTAGTTCTTTAGGACAGCGTTGTCACCTTTCTTGAAGGACAAGACCACCGCACTTTGCTACCATGGAGGACGGAATTGAAGAGCTTCTGAAGGACTTCAAGTACCGGTGTTCCATCCGCTTTCAGAAGCTTCGCTTTAATTTTATCCTCGCCTGGGGCCCTGTCGTTTTTAAGGTGCTGGAGGGCCATTCTAATCTCACTCAATTCTATTCAATTAATATAAAACTGTGAAATGAGGTGTTCCAAAATGTATCGCGTCTGGGCTAGGTACACTATACTCAAAAATAGTGAAAAATATTTTAAACGGTTCTCAACTGTCCAATTATTTTATAATGGCTTTGTTTGCTGGTAAAACTAGAAAATTACACTTGACATTGCAGCACACAACAAAAACCCGTCATGGCTGTAAGCCGTCATTTTTATAGCTTAATGACGTTCGACATGTTTATTTCACGTGTTTTTGAGACTTTTGTGACAACTGACAGTTCTTTTTCTATGATCAATGATCACTTTATTTTCTATACGCACATAGTAACTAAATCGGTGCGACGCTATGTTGAAAGTCGATGAAAATAAGTAATAAACATTAACTGTTTACCACGACAGGATATATTTAAATGAATTATCTGCACTTTTCCCGAGTTTTTTTGGGGTAGTGTATATACTGGCCTATACGGGCCCATTTTGGAACATCTGCTTTCTAAAATATCTGTATCTGCGATTGGTCAACGACTAAAGGGCGTATGGTGCAGATGAGTCGGATATGACAATAATAATATTTTCTTTCAAACAGAATTTCAGTTACAGCATAATTTCATATGAAATCTTGAATAAAACTATTTATACGGAATTTGAAGGGTAAACCAACTTATTTTAACTTATTTTTGATTCACGAAAGCACCCGAAACTTAAGAAATTAAAAATAAGTTAACTAAACGCAATAAAATCCATATAAATTGTTTTATTCAATGTGTAAATTTCGCGTAAATTTAAAAAAATCATTTTTTGGAATCTTGCTATAGATTATGCAACTGACATTAAAACTACCTTTCTTTTGCATGATACAGCCATAACAGCCATAATTACCTAGAAGGAAACAAAGGAAAACCTTAGAGAAAAAATTAAATTAATGAATGTATTAACTTTGTACTCTCTGTATATTTACTAAATTGTAATGTATGCACACAAAAACAAAAATAGTTTTATTAAAAATAGTGATATATATTTTCCGTAAATACTAGGAAAAGCTCAAGTTAGTAATAAGAGTTACTCGACTCCAGAGAGTCAGTTATTCCATCATGGAGAAATGTATTCGCTTTTACAACATAGTCCATGAAAATATGCAGGACATATCTATTAAAAGTCAGTCAGTCGGTAGACGGCAAACGAAACAAACGTATGCATTGCATTGTTGCCAGTCGATTGCTATTGTTTTTGTAGTCAGTTTCTCAAACTTTATCTTATCCAACATGTTTATGTGTCACCGGTGTAATAGTGAAGGGATGGTGTGCAGTGTACAATGTGCCTCAACCGTTTCGATTTCCCATGTGCAGGAATAACAGAGGTAGGATATCGCAAACTTAGGGACAGAAAGGCTACTTAGAAATGCAATACCTGTAAGACAGGAATTGCGAGTCCTAATCTTTCTTCCGAGAAAATAGTACAGGGAAGGGTACCATCTCATGGTAATATGGAGAATATTCGTCTTGAGCTTAGTAAGATTACCAAACAAATATCGTCATTACCACAGTTAATTGCAAGTGTCAAGACTATCCAGGCTGACCTTTCAGATCTTAAGGATATGAAGTGTGAAATGATGGACGTTAAAAACTCCTTGAACCATGTGCATACTTCGGTTGAGGGACTCACTAACAAACTGACTGAGATCGATCGGGAAATTCAGTCTCTTCAAAAAACTAAGGATGATGTTGTACGTGTTGAACATCGATTGGAGAAGCTTGAGGCCGATGTACGCGAAAATCAGCAAAGATCGCGCCTGAACAACATTGAGATCAAAGGCGTTCCTGTAGCCTCGTCTGAAAATCTTTTTACTATTTTTTCCAATATTGGTAGTAAAATAGGTTACGAAGTTCCTAAGGAGCAAATCAACTGCGTAGCAAGAGTACCTCAGCGTAATAATAAAAACACCAAAAACATCATTGTATCACTTCACACCCGTTACCTGAGAGATAATTTTATAGCTGCTGCTAAAAAATGTAAAACTTTAACTGCTGCGGATTTAGGATTGAGAAGTGATAGCAGGATTTTCATCAATGATCACCTTACGTTTGAGAATAAACAGCTACTTAATAAGACAAAAGCTCTTGCTAGTGAGAAATTTTTTTCTTATACATGGGTAAAAAACTGTACAATTCTAATGAAAAATAATGCGATATCTCCTAAATATGCAATAAAAAGGGAAGCAGATTTAAAGAAGATTTTCTGAATATAAATTTGTTCATTTCTATATCAATTTGTGAAACAAGTTTGAGAAACACTGGTACGTTAAGTCTATTCTATTTATTTATCTTATCACTGACGGTACACGTTGTTGTTCTGTTGTCGCTTGGTTTAATAACAGCTCGGTGCATTTTTTATTTGTACCTTACACCATATGTGATATTAGTTAAGATATCGTTTAGTTTGACAAATGTTAAATTATTTCTTGCGGTATTTTATTGTTGTATAAATAATCAATACTTCTTCGTTGATATTTATACTACACATTATGCGTCTTATTTCTTTAACGATTGCTACAATATGAACAAATTGGCGCTGTTATTTGCTGTAGTTAAACACATCCATATACTTACTAATATTATTTATTTACCACCACACTTTAGGTGCGTATTCGCACTTCTTTTTATGTTATGGTATGTCATTTTCAGCGCTATTTCTGTGTTTTTGTATGATTTTAATGATGGCTGTTGAAATATACTATCAAAATGTACGTGGTCTGCGAACAAAGGTATCAAATTTTCTGAGAAATGTATGTATTAACAATTATGATGTTATATGCTTGACGGAGACGTGGCTTAACGATGACTTTTGTAATAACGAGCTCTTTGATGACCGTTATGTTGTTTGGAGACGTGATAGAAACTATAATGTTACAAATCAAACGTTGGGAGGTGGTGTGCTTATTGCTGTTAAGCGTGAACTTGCAGTGGAGGAGCGGGTTGACTGGCGTTCTTCTGCCGAAGAAATATAGGTATCGTTAAATCTTCGGCGTTCCATACCGAAAATGACATATTAACTACATATTTGTATGATTTACTTATGCAGACAAAATCTGGGTAACTCATTATCTGCAAAGTTAGCTTGTTTTTATACAAAATTATACGACTTAGTAACGACCAATCTAACTGATGCTTTAGTTATTTTGGGAGATTTTAATCTGCCAAATATATCTTGGACTCTTGACGATGATTTGTACTCTCTTTGTCCGGAAAATATTGAGGGGTCCATTCAATCCGACTTTTTTGACACCTTAAATACGTGTTATCTGCAGCAATATAACTCTAATATCAATGTTAACAACAGAATACTCGCCTTAATTTTTTGTAATAATAACTTATCCGCAACAAAATGTACCGAGCCTTTAGTGCCTGAAGACCCTCATCATGTGGCTCTTAATGTTCTAGCGGATTTTGTCGAGTACCACACTTTACCAGTCCAGCCAAGGACTAAGTTTATGTACCATTTAGCTGATTTCTTCTCTATATCACGAGAGCTTGATAATTTTACATGGTCTCACGATCTTTTTAAGGGCACAGTGGACGATGCATTGTCACTATTGTACACTCGATTAAACAATTTGTGCGGCACTTACATACCAACAAAAGTAGTAAAATCTTCTTCTCAATATCCCCCCGGTAGAAAACCCCTCTTATAAAAATTTTAAAGGAAAAGTTTAAATATCATACCAAATATAAAATATATGGCAATTTGTCAGATCATGAGTCTTTTTTAGTATTGCGTAATCGCGCCAAACAATTAGAATCCGAAATGTTCAATAATTATATAGCAAAGATAGAACTCAGCATAAATAAATCGCCAAGGACCTTCTGGTCCTTCGTGAAATATAAAAAAGCGTCAAACGCTTGTTCATCTATAATGAAGTATGGACACATATCATCAGGCCAAGGGCTATTTGTAATATGTTTTTTCTATGGTAATTTTCACAAAGTTCGCAGTAACTATAACACCCGATATGAGCCCTATAATTGGCGATCACATACTGTGTCGGGTATAAACTCGATACAAGTTAGTGAAACTGAAGTTCTTAAGCTTCTGAATTCTATTGACCTTAATAAATCTGCAGGCCCATCTGGTATACCACCCATTCTTATAAGTAAGTGTGCTAAAAGCTTGACTATACCGTTAACAATAATATACAGACGTTCTCTCAAGGAAGGAATAGTACCTCTTATTTGGAAATCTGGATTTATTACCCCCATCCATAAAAATGGTCCAAAGGACCGTGTAGAAAACTATAGGCCAATATCCAAGCTTTGTTTATTCAGCAAAATCTTTAACAAAATCGTATACTCGTCTGTATATCATGGCATCAAACAAACACTCATTGATTATCAACATGGCTTTTTAAAAGGTAGATCCACGGTTTCGAAACTTATTGTCTGTCCTGACTATTTAACTAACATCATGTCTGAGCGCTTACAAGTTGACGTAGTCTACACTGATTACAGTAAAGCGTTTGACCGTTTAGATCACGTTATACTTCTCAGCAAGCTACTCGAGGTAGGTATCAGCGGCGACCTGTTTAGGTGGTTTAAATCTTATATTAAGAATCGTTGTCAGACAGTAATACTCAATGGTTATACGTCAGCAACTGTGCAAATCCCTTCAGGTATACCGCAGGGATCGCTATTAGGTCCTTTGCTTTTTGCGATTTTTATAAATGATATAGGTTCCTGCTTCACTTACTCCAAAATAATCCTTTATGCTGATGACATGAAAATTTTATGTCCCATTACAAATACTTCTGACTGCCTTGGTCTGCAGCGTGATCTCAATGAACTTGAACGATATTGTTCACGCAATAAACTTGACTTGAATGTGTCCAAGTGTTTTATCATTACTTTTACCCGTAAACCCAATCCCACTGTCTTTCACTACAAATTACATGACACTACTATAGAAATATTACAGTCAGTAAAGGATCTTGGTGTATTTTTCGATTCTAAATTACTTTTTGATGCACATATTGACAATATAATTAAAAAATCCAATAGAGCACTTGGATTCGTTTTGAGATTTTCCACTGATTTTCATAATATCAAAACATATAAGATACTTTATTGCGCTCTTGTTCGTAGCCATTTAGAGTACGCCTCTCAAGTGTGGAATCCAAATTATAACATTTATATGGATAGGATTGAGCAAGTACAAAAACGTTTTCTACGTTTTCTGCAATTTAAGACGCAATTTTACAGTAATAACTACATTTCGCAATGTAAAAAATTTCATATTTTGCCTCTGCACGAACTTAGGCGCATAGCAGATATGATTTATCTTTTTAAATTGGCAAATGGTAATATTGACTGTCCGGATCTACTGAGTAAATTAGGCTTTACAACAAGAGCTACCCTACTAAGAAAGCCTCGCTTACTCCACGTGCCGCATACCCGGAATAAATATAGGCAAAAATCTTTTATAATACGCATGCAGAACTTTTAATGACATTTCCAATAGCGTTGACTTGGATCTGTTTAGTACCAATGTTTCTCGAATCAAAAATATTTTAGCGAAAAAAATTCTTTTGTTGAGTGTTTTTCTGTTTAATTTAGTTAATTTACTGTATTTGTCTTAGTCGATATTTATCTTTTACCGACTAGAATTATTTTTTTTTAAGTTCATATTGCCTATAGATGAAAACTTTTAAATGGCCTTCTAGTTGTTATTCATTTATTTACTGTTAATGTTAGCTGTAATTTTTCTAATAAGAATAAAATAAAAATAAAAAAATTAAAAAATTTATATTTTTAATAACCAAAAATTGTTTAGTAAGAGTTATTTTAATACTAAAGGTTACATAATTGATAGATAATAAACCCCAGAAATAAGATGATCGCTACCGTGCTATTTCTAAATGTTTTCGTATTTAAATTTATCAAACATATAATATTGTAAATAACTTTAAGAAAGAGTCCTATTGGGATTCTCGCTGATTCTTCCCAGAATTAAAGCATTATTAAAGCTAAACCACTGGCTTGGAGACACCTCTGGTACTTCCAAACCAGGGCTTTGGCTTTAATTACTTTCAATGAGTAAATTTGTAATAATGATAATTCTATTCTAGCGGGCAGTCTCATGTAGCGGCAGAAGCTTAAACCGGCGACAGGAAGCATCATCAATGGAGGCGGGAGTGGAGGAAATCCAAGAAGAATAAAAAATACAACAGAAGAGATTAAGTAAATAGAGTTTTATTTGAAAAACTATTTTGTTATTTAGTAGCCTCTTATTTCGGTACTAAGAACCAAGTCTTCGGGGCTTTGTAAACTAATCTAGTTTTATTCAACTCTTAACATTAATGAAGTTACAAATAAGTAATTAATTTTTCTAACTATTTAAAATCAGCTTACTCTCGCTGGAGAAAAATCGTACAATTTATCTTATAATAAAAGCTAATATTACGTAGCAGGTAATTTTACGAATGATTAATGACAGCTGTAACTGGGATTAGATGAGCGATGTTTTCCGTAATTTACTAAGAAATTATTTACCATATATTTTTTTATAAATTTAACAAATGCTCTGTTAGTCAGTAGTCTATTAGTCAGGTAGCATCAGATGTTTTCTTGGAAAAGATAAATACTACCACTGTAACGATGTGAACTCACACTCATATTTTGAGGAGACAGAAATCCGAAACCACCGGAGAGGCACAGGATCAACGGATTTACGTGCTATATTAAGCACGAAGGTGAAACACTGCCAGCTTCCCAACTCTCCGGGCTACTAGTGAGAATTTCTTAACAGGAAAACCCAATAACTAATTTTGGCTCATGTTTCCAACCAGAGACCACATGATTAGAACTAGCACTTAAGAATACTATACCAAGCAGGCTTTATACAAAATTTACATGGTCACATAACCAGACCTGGAGCAATTATTGGTAGGCCATTCAAAAACTTTACCTGTGCGGGACGTCCCAGACACTCGTTAAGCCATTAAGCTACATAGGTGAATTAATATTTTAATGTTTTTATTAAAAATAGACCAGAAAATTAAACACTGCGTAAAAAATTTAATTTGATAATTTGCCTTACACGTATTAACTTCATTTATTATTTTTATGAAATTTCGGCGTTAAGAGAAAGCACATTTACAAAACAAAGCCTTTAACACAGCAGTCATTAATCACTTGTAATTTCCCTTCAGTAAATTTTATTAAGATAAACCGGGAGAAATTTTTCCCAAAAAGAAAAATATAAAGAAAGGTTGTATTCGTAATAAAAAAAAACCGTTTGCACTTTTTTACAGGCAGTAAATCTTCATATGGAGGCGGCGTAATAGAGTTATTTAAACTGGGCTTTTTCAAACTTATAGTTCCACATACTCCTACAAAATTTATCTGATTATAATGGACCTACAAATACACTTTCTATAGATGAAAGTTAGATTTTAATGCAAAAAAAAAGATATAACACAAAATAGCAAATATAGCGCGCGCAACACTTCCGGCCTGAGGAACCTGCATCACTGAAACTATGTCGCGTCGAAGCTACAAGCAACGTGATGGTGACAATTAAAAAAAACAGTTAAAAACAGTTAAAAAGAAATTATTTTTCCAATTCGTAAGATTGGAAAAATAAGTTATGCAGATTTTAGTGTAACTTATTATTAGATACGATTGTGTTCGCCCAAACTTTCTAATATACTCTTATACAAATTTCGCATTTGAATAGGATTATAGTGCACGAGTATGTGCGCAAGCTTCCTACTCCTTTACTCTCATAGTTCTGTGGTACGGCAATCCGACACGATCGGGGAGAAAAAATCAAACTCAAGACAGTGTCAAATTCCTGACGTCGTGATTATACTGAGCGTTTCTCGACTGAAAACGTAATAACTGATTTTGACCATAGTCCGTAGATCGATTCAAATTCAAGAGGATGCTACTATACTGCAACTGGTTGTATTTTAGTTTTATTTTCAAGAACTATATAAGATGTACAGATCAATACTGAGAAAAATACTTTTTGGATTTACAAAACAACGTCAAATTTGTATATAAAAATTTTGGCTCATCAATAAATACATAATCAAATATTGTAAAGCCTTCACATTGGTCAAAATGTCAATTACACCCTGAATGTAATACAACTTCAAGGGTTTTGATGTGCCATGCCCGTGGATAAACTATTTGAGATGGTTTATGACATTTCCGGAAATATCATGTTGGAGCTTTTTTTATTATGTGCGAGCAGCTATGCAGGTCTAGGTAAAGATACCAGTATCACTGCGACCTAGAAGATCTATTGTGATCGCTGCTATGGCTGTAGTTCACTGCTAAGCCCAATTTCTTCAATGAATCGAAGGAGTTGCTTAGCCGTGAGCAATTTCACTTCTTCTGGTGGGAGTAGATAGTGTCCCAGATGAGTGTTACGTTTGCGCATTAAGGATCCGCAATCAGTTAGGATGTGCAGAGGCGTTTCTTCCGTTATGGAACAGAACCGACACATCCTTGAGTTGCTTAGTCCCAGGATGGACATGTGCTTTTTAAGACAACAGTGTCCAGTTAGGGCTCTTGCCAGAATGCGCAATTTATTTTTACTTAATCCCAAGGCTTCTGAAGCGTTCTGAAGAGTTTACGATCAAAAGCCCGGATTAAGATTTTAGAATGTTTTAAGACTGGTGTGTCAGACCAGATCCTAAGTGATTTATTGAGACAAAGAGTTTCAAGGGTCAATCGGGCTAGGCTTCTTGAGATTCCACAAAATGGCTCGGGTCCAAATTGTGTGCACTTTGAGCCCTCCCGTGCAAGTTTGTCGGCAAATTCGTTGCCTACAATACCCTCGTGACCCGGAAACCATCATAAAATGACCCTGTTATTACAACCCAGGGCGTTTAAACGGTTCACGCAGTCTCCAACTAGCTTTGAGTTCACTAAGTTTGATCTCAGCGCTAGCAGTGCTGCTTGACTATCAAAGTTTATGTAAATTTTTATTGTTGACGTAGTGTTTTTGCAGATTGATTTCCGCACACCGAAGTATGGCAAAAATTTCTGCCTGGAAGATAGAGGTGTTTCTATCCAAATTCATGCTAAGTTTGAATTTAAGGCGTTCCCCGTAAATTCCAAACCCTACGTCGAGGCCCATTTTAGACCCATCGGGATACCATATGAGGCTACCGACCTCATAGATAACCTGGCCATTCCGCCAGTCTTCTCTGGAGGGTAATTCCACTATATGCTTTTTATCAAAAGTATATAGTGGACGCATGATATCTGAGATCATGCATAAGACCGGTGATTCCTTAATTGAGTCGAGCATGGAACTCAATCTGTAGGAGAGCAAGCTCAGACCGCCCTCGGCGTTAATTCTATACAAACTAGCCCTCGCCTCCTTGTCTAGATAGAGATCAACGGGCGTAAGGTATAGAAGTGCATTAAAGCCGCTCCAGGCAATGATCTCATAGCTCCAGTTGCCATTAGGCAGGCAGTCCTTTGTAGACTATTTAGTCTGTCCGCAGTCGTCTTTTGTTTGGCCTTGTTACACCAAACAATAGAGGCGTAGGTGAGAATCGGCCTCACTATGATGCTGTACATAGGACCATACTGGGACGCAAGCCCCAGTTGTTCCCGACCAAACGACTGCATGTACCTAAAGCAATTTTTGTCTTATGGCATACGTTGCTAAGGTGAGAGTTCCACGTTAGTTTTTGGTCGATTGTTACGCCCAAGTACTTAACTTCCGTGGAAAATGATACTTCTTTGCCATTAAGTTTTGGTTGGACTAATTTGTCCAAACGTCTCTTTTTGGTAAAGGGTATTATAACAGTTTTATCAGAATTAACTGATAAACTGTTATCCCTACACCAGTTATTTATGGTGTTTAGGGCTCTTTGTATTATTGACGATAAAGTACTTTGGCAAAAGCCCCTTGCAATGATCACAAGGTCATCAGCATAACCCAATGTGTCAATGCGTAGGTCTGCCATTTTATACAATAGTTGGTCAACCGCAAGAGTCCAAAGAAGGGGTGACAAAACACCTCCTTGTGGGCAGCCTCTTGTGGTTGATGTCGGAGCTTACATAGAACGTTGTATCCTATGCTAAAAGTACAATAAAGTAGATATTATATTTAGCTTTATTATCGCTTAAGAAATAGAAATATTACAGTTTACAATGTAATTTATATTTTAAAAGCTTAATCTATAGTGTGACGGTAGTAACCAAATAGTAGGGGACAGTGAATTCATAGTTCGTGGGTTTGAATCCACCATCCAAATACTGTCGTGAACCGTTCAAGTTCACCTGGTGTGGTGAACAGAAATATTGGTAATGTTAATAATAGCATTGAAAATCATATAAGACCTTTTGTCCACGAACGTTGTTCTATTACGGTTTAGAGAAGGAGGCGTAGCAGTAATGGCTGATATTAAAGAAATGTTCCTTCAAGTGACAATTCGTAAAAAAAAACAGGGACAGTTTCCGATTTCTGTGGCGGCACAATCGTGACGCGACACCGGAAAAGTAAAGAAGTATGTAAATGATAAGTATAAATTAAATAAACATGCTTCTTTCCAATTGAGGTAATGGACTAGTAACCGACCCGATGTTTTATGTAAAATGGAAATAAAAATAAGAGTGACAGCATCTCACTAAGTGACAAGGACTACGCTGAGCGCACTTTAATTTGGAATATCGTACGAGATACGTTAAGTTCTTCATAAGTTTAAGTAACTCGCCTACGGAAATAATCGAAGGCATACGACCACCTACGAAAACGGAGACGCCTTTAAAACCAATATCTAATCCAAGGCTTGAATGGCAAGCAGCTCTTATGAGCATCTGGATAACTTCATCGGTTGAGAAGGAGGATACGATATATCCGAACGAATATTCTGGACAGTACAGTACCTACGTACAGTATTGGCGTGGATTAGGTCAGAGCCTCGTAATTTCAAATAATTCGTTGCTCATCGACTGGCTAAGATCAAAAATTACAGTAAGCCACGTGAATAGCGATGGGTGCCGACGTCACGAAATGTGGCATATGACGCCACTAGAAATTTTATTTCCACCTTCGATGAAAATCATCGCTGGCTTCAAGAACCTGATTTAAGGCCCACGCAAGTGAATATAAAAGAAAGTTTAGAAACAGGTCAAGAAAAATCACCAAAATGCATGAATACTTTTTTTATTAATATATTTATTAAAGTTATTTTATGCCTTTTCATTTTTATCTTAATTTATGTTAATGTTCATGAATGGTTCTAAGTTTTGCATCAAAAGTTAGAATTGTCGGAATTAACCCGATCAATTCCGGAAGTTTTAGCGTTCTACAATTGTATATCGAATTCGCCGGCGACCGAGTAAATTGACTACTGAATTCGGAACAAAAATTAAATGATTTTTTATACGCTACGTTCACCACCGCGGTGTAAGTCCGTGTGTTCACATTCAACCTGTATGCTGTTATATCACTGATGCAGATATGAACATTGTATCTGTCCAATTTACATAACCTATTTTGTAAAAGACTTTGGGCGGTGCTACGAAATGCATAAATTGCTTGCCTCTTCAGAGCATGTTATCTATAAAAATTTTCCCTATTCTGACGAGATTAACTTAAATATTATTTTTGGCTAGAACGTTTACCGCTATACGCAAAAATAAGGAATATTATGAGCAATTATATCTCATGTATGTCTTGTCAATTACTGACTGATTCCTTTTATTTGCCCGTGGAGTTATTTATACAGTCGAAGTTATTCCCTCACTTCTTCGAATTTTATTTTATTCTCTACCCTCATTTCTAACAATATAATATACAAGATATCAGTATCATTGGTACTTTAGCTCACTGATTCGTTGGGCTAAGTTGAGTACGTTCTACTGGGGATATTTTTGTAACGAATATTATCACGCTGAAACTCCGAGCGTGTAGGGCTAGTGACCATTAATCATATTCATTTTGATAAGTTAAAATTACTCGTAAATTGAAAAATTATTTTTTTCAAACAAACTAATATTAAAACATTAACTAAAATTGGGATCACCCTTGCGAAAATTCATTCATGAAAATACTTACCTAGCTGGTTTACGTTAACTCGAAGCGGCAACGCAGCGTTTAGCGAGCTGGCAACCGCGCAAAGTGTCTTGTTTATCAAAGAAAATTAGCGGCATCGGCATCATCGTAAGTGGTACCTACAGTGGAGATGCTTAGTCAAACACGTATCATGTCACACTCTCGTGTTACTATTTGTTAACTGTCATCACTAATCACTGCTTTAATTTGTCTTTATTTTAAATTTAATTTGTCT